AGGTATGTTCAAAATTCAAAACTGCTTCTGGACACAAAGACAATTCTATTTCGCTAACGATAATATAAACACGAATTAAAAGACTGTACGTGAGTTTGCTTTCAAGTTACACTCTACAACACTTTCCCAATTTTGTTTAATAAGCATATATTTGTCCTATTAAAAAACTAAAATTAAAAACATCTTCATTCTTTTGTTTTCATCTGCACAACATCCTTAAGAGCAACTGCAAAACTGTGTAAACCTATGTATACTTTGGACATCCATCAAGTGAAACATAACCATTAAAAACAAGCTCCACTGAACAACAGTCAGTTGTTTTAGAATGTTAAAATAATGCAGATGGCCACTATATTAAATCTAGGTCAACTTTAAGTACTCAATTTTAGTATCTACTTCCAGTTACCAGACATGATTCCCAAAACAATAATAATTTTTAAATAATCTCTGCTTATTTATTCTACTAATCCAGTTTACTTCAGACCAAATCCTATAGCAAACTTGCCACAAGGTATCTGGACCCAGACTTGAAATAGTGAGGCAACATAAAGCTGTAAGACAAGCCACTAAACATGTCGTTATTCCTTATCTATAAGACACAAAAGACATACCAATTTCCCATGTACCAATTATCAGTAGCGAGTAGGAAAGACCATTCATTCTCTATAATAGCACATCAGCAGGACAACAGAAAACCCTTGGTAGAATACAGCTAAAATTCTAGAGCCAGCAGGAGTTAGGATGGTTCCAATTATAGAAATGGTAAGCAGACCAATTGCATTTTATTTTGTCCTTCCTAAAATATAATTGTATTCCATAGGAATTTAAAGAAAAGCTTTATCATGTGTATAAACACATACACACACCTTTCATATATATACTTTCATATAACAACATACATACTTTTCGTATAAATATAAAATACATATATGAAAAGTGATCCTCCTTTCTCCAATCCCACTGTTCACCTTCTACAGAATCACAGGACACACAAGCTAGGATTGAAGCCTTTCATCCTATCTCGCACGAGAAAGTCAAAGGGAAAAAAAACCCAAAGGATAACCTAATAAACATAAAAAATCAAGTCCCAGAACTCACAGCTTCCTGGCCTATCTTTGAAATATGCCATCAACCATCTTTTCTTTGCTTTTCTCATTCTGCCTCTGGTCTAAGGGGCTCATTAATTATTTATATTGCCCCAAAAATGAACGAGAAAGTTTCTAACAGGGTATACGGAAATGTGCCCAGCAAAGTGAGAAGCACTGTAGCCATGAATGGTTCAAAGACCATGCATCTTAAAGGTCACAGAACATAAAAGAACCCTTAAAGAACATCTGGTCTAAATGCAAAGGATTCATATTTCTAGTACTCTAGGAGTGGGGTGGGACAGAAGATCATTATATGATCACCAAGAGACAACAGGACAAAAATAGAAGTTTAATGAACTTCTATACTCCTAGCACCAGGCACTTAACATATATGAACCTAACCTTTCCAGAGTTATAAAATATGGGGGATGGAGAGTGATCGACAAAGTAAATCATAACACCTTGCTTTGTTACAGTAATATCTATACAAAGATGTTTTTCAAGGGCCTACTTCACCAGAAACTTCATTACCAAAAACAACTACAGCATAGGGAGCATAAAATACTTTCTAAGGACACAAAAATTTAACTGCCGACCAAAAAAACGGGGCAAAAAGAGTAAAAAAAAGGAGCACTGAGATCACAGCTGGGTATAAGCCTCAATTTACTATCTGCAAAGAGACAAGTATTAATAAAATAGTCTGAGATTAAAATAAGGCAACAGGAAGGATGCAGAAAGCAAATCCAATCATCTTGAAATGTTGCCCAAGATTCAAACTATCTACTTTCAATAGGGGAGGGAGGATAAAAAAACAGCTGAGGGATCTCTCAAACTCATTACTTCATAAATAATGTGTAGACTACCATGTATATGTTTTCTTTTCTTTTCTTTTTTTTTTAGTTTATTTAAGAGAGAGACAGACAGAGGGACAAGCAGACTCTGGCTGAGCGCAGACCCCAACTCGGGACTGGATCCCACAACCCTGACATCATCACCTGAGCCAAAAATCAAGACTCAGGGGCTTAACCCACTGAACCACCCGGGCAACCCCGCCTGTTTTCTGTTTTTAAACAGGCACTTTCATTAGACAGGAGTTTTACTGTTAAAAACACTGAGTAAAAAGCAGTGCTTTATTGATCACACAGCCACAATCCTGGTAGGTAGACACAATTATGACACAGTTGTTAAGCACATGTTTCTTAACTGTCTCAGCTCAATCCTGGCTCAGCACTTAAGCTAACTATATGACCACAGTTATTTCTTTCCTCGTCTATAAAATGTGGCTCTTCATAGATCTTGTGCAGTATTTCAAGAATTAAATGAGTTAATACATGTAATGTGCTTAAAGTTGTGCCTGGAACAGTGTAAATGCCTGATAAATATTGCTTATCACTGAAGTGTTTTTTTGTTTGTTTGTTTAATTTATAATACCATGTTAAAATTCTACATGGAGTAACAGGTACTACAGTACTGCTAATGAAGATGTAAAAACTGGTTATCAAAATCAGAATATTTTAAATACGCATTGCTTTTTATCTGGCAATCTCACTTCAGGAACTTCAAAGGATATAAGTATGCAAATATGTATACATGAGGATGTTCTCCATCCCTTTCACTTGTAAAACAATAAAGACTGGGAAACTACCTAAACACCAAAGAACAGGAAAGTGGGTAGTTATGATACCCCTTTTGAGTGGAATATTATACAGCCAATGAAAAGGATAATGCATATCTATTCTAGTTTATGATACATTTCTTAGTAAATGAAAATCAAAACACAAAACAACCCATATTGAAACATCTCACTGATACTAAACATTAGTTTATATTTGTGAATAAACATGCAAAGACTAAAAACAATGTTCATCAAGTGGTTAAAGATGAGAATGAAGATCTCAGGGAAATTTTTTGCTTTTCTTTATTTTTTTCTGTATGGACATTTCTTGTCTTCCCTGGGGCAAGTTACTTAACCTCACCTATATCACAGGACTGCAGTGAAAATGTGGTTATACATATCTAGCACCCAGAATAGTTTTGGGAGCACGTATGTATCTACATATGCTGTATTTGTTTCACTTTTCCACACTTGAGGAGAAAAGCTCTTATCAGGAAGTAATCTCCAAAACAAACATCAAAATGGAAAGTGTCCTTATGTTCGCAAAGTTTTTTCCATACTTCGGTTGGCTTGTTAATAATTTTATAAAGCAAATTTTGTGGTATGATGAAAAAAGTAGTAAGGTCAGTATGTAACAGAAACCTTCAACTTCTCTACCTGACCTCCAAATAAAAATACAGCAAGAATAAGTAACACCATATACTGTTTGGGAACCTGAATCTAAATGAAATCTCCCACCAAATTACCTTCTTTCTCAGTAATGGAGTTCATTGGACTGGCAAGCTTCTCTCCCTTAGATAAAACCACTTGTTAATAACTATCAGAGCTTAAAAACAAACAAAAAAACCCCAACTTCAAGATTGCATGGCAGTCAACAAGTGTGACTTTCGAAATTATCGAACAGAGGAGGGGAAAAAAACCCAAACACTATTAACAATTGTAACCCACTGCTAAAGAATTAGTTGTATGAGAAGCGATACAGAAATGTGTATACAAACCTCTCCAGAATTATCTCAGAACTTGGGCTCTATTCCAAAGATGAACTCTCCTTTACCAACAGGTAGGTATCATATAATACCAAGAGAATCATAAGGTCACCATCATAGACCTAAAAAAATCCACATTTTTACTAAGGCTATCTGTTTTGCAAGAGAAAGGGAGCAACCCCATATATATGTCTGTCATGGGGCCACTAATCCCAAAGCATTTAATGGTGCACATACATATAAATATGAATAAATGAATTCATTGCATCCTAGTGTCTTTTGTTCAATTTGACTCTTGCGAGACATCAGTTGCATCTTAGGCAGATGACATGCCAATTTATTTTTACCTCACAGGAACCAAGAACCAAGTGTTCCCTACTTTACCAACCCATTACAAATGTCATTAAAATAGCCTGCATTGACTTAACTACAGCCATATTCTGCGTTGTAATGGAAAAAAGCAAGAGACTAAGAGTGAGAATGAAAGATCAAGGTTCTAGATCCAGCTGTAAACTGCGTAAGGTTGCACAAGCCACCTTAACAACTCTGCATCTCCATTTGTTATCCCTTGAGTGGAGCTGATGATAGAGAACTCTTCAGCTCTAAGGAGTCTTTAACTGAAAGTGCTAAAGTTTTGCTGGGGGCGGGGTGGAGAATATCCTAAAGAGAAAGAAAACTAATGTCTAACATTGTAAACTAAAAATTCTACAAGATTAAAATGTTACATATTCTGGTTTCCACATTCAATACACCCTACCCGGGCTCATACTCCACAGACACTAAACAGATACCTGGAAACCAAGGGAAATGAAGGACTTTGGGCAAACAAAAATCCACAGAACTTACATAGATAACTCGACACAGTGATTCCTTCCATTCCTTATACACACAAAATAAAATTATGAAAAGTATTTGGATATGCATACTTCTGTTTTCTAGCCTGAATTACCCAAATAAATCTCTGAACTTCAGGAATGAAAACACACAATAGACAAGAAGTGATTTTGATGAAATTGCTAAATCAACTGTTAAATTCCTCTGTAGCTTTCAGGAAATGCTAAGGGAAAGCAATCTGAAACACCACGAGTCTATTTCAACTCCCAAACAACCTCCCCACGGGCGACATTTTGCCAAAAATACTGAAAACATTTTTGAAAAGTGTCTGCGTGTTTCCAAAGCTACTTATGAAAGAGGGGGGACATAAAACAAGAACTCTGGGGGGGGGGGGGGAATGCCTTCTAATTCCCACCCCAGGACTGCCCAATAACTATTTTAGCCAAAGCAGGAAATAGAGGAGATGGCGGGAGCGTAGGCAGAGAGCGGAAGTTTGCCTCGTATCTACTTTGAAGTGTTTGAATGGACTGAGGCACAAGCTCTCCCGCCAAACTACAAATGCAGCGGCTCCGAACTACCAGCCCTCCAGCCCATCAGGTATACTCCACGTTTTCCTTTCTCCCAGCAGGCCCTCTACTTTACTCTCCCTTCCCCCGAGAACTCGTCTGCACGCCTCACTCAACTCCCGCCACCCCCATCCCAACCTACACAGGAATCCACGCGCTTTCCTCACTTTCTGCTCTCCGCCTTTCTCCTTGCGGGGCACCCAGCCGTCCCCCAAGGCCCTCTCCGCGGTCGCTCTGCCTGAAGACTACCTGGTGCCCTTGGAAGCCAATACTCCCGCCGCGCCCTCCCCCACCTTCTCCCCCCGGCTCCAGACCTCACCGGGGAACCCAGGCCACGAGGTCCGCGGCTCCCTCCCGCCTGCTCCCCTCGAAGTGACTCCGGCTTGGCTCGGCTCGGCTCGGAGGCGCCCTCGTGGCCACGCAGGCCTCTCCACCCTCCCGATTGGGCCGGGCGGCGGCCGCGCCACCCATCTCCCCGCGCCCTTGCCCAGCCAAACACCGGGAGTGGCGCCGCTTTCCCCGACCCGCCACTGGTGAGCGGAGCCCACAGGGAAACAAAGGGTCGGGCTCCAGGGCCGACGTGGCTAGGCCGATCCTGGCCCGCTCTCCTCCAGGACCCCAACAAAGCCCGAGCCGCTGCCTCGCGCCCCCGGCCTGGCTTACCCATCGGTCCCCGCACGCTTCTTGCCGGAGGGGTAATCCTCCCCCAAGTCCAACCGGTGCCGCTTGGACATCTTCGGTCTCTGCGAGCGGGCGGTTATGAAGGAAGAAGAAAAAAAAGAAGCCGGCGGCTGTATCGGTACAGTCGAGGGCAGCTACTTAACTCTGGAGGACCCCCACCCCTCCCGCTACAACAGCCTACACCGTGCGGCCGGAACCAGGAGCTAAAATGGCGGCGGCGACGAGGGCTGGGCCTGCGAGCGCGCTTCCGCAGCGTGCTGTGCGTGCCGTGCGTGCATGCGTGCGTGGAGCGCGCGCACGCACTGGAGGCGGGAACTCCAGCCCCGCCCGCCCGCCACCTCGTTGGCCCGCCCTCCTTCCGTCTCGCCGCCCTCGTCCCTCCTGCATGCTCTCTGTGCTTTCTGTGCGGGTGCTCGGAGGGGTAATCCTCTATGGCCTGCCTGCCCCTTTGACTAAAAAAGAAGAAGAAAGGAAGAAAAGAAAATTGAGAGAGAAGAAAGTCTACCCATCTTTATTATCCTGGCTTTAGGGGAATCTGACACCATGAGAGGTTGAGAAACTACTTAAGATCATACAGCTAGCTGATAAGGGGCGGAGTCAGAATTGGAATCCAGTGTTTTGTAACTCCCAATCTTGAACTTGCAGCCACTGACCGGACCCTTTCAATTATGTTAAGGAAACCGAGGTGAGGAAAATATCAAGACTTGCCATGATCCATTTTGCCCTTTTTTTTAACCCAGCAGAGGCAACATGCTCTGTAGGTGTTTTTTACTGGAACAGAAAAAATTGACAGTAAGGGCATAATTTGCTTTTTTTTTTTTTCCCTCTGAGCCTGTTATGTGATTCCACAGTATTAACCCTACTTCTGTCCTCAATCTTACAGTAACGCTGCAAGGTAGGTGTTATTCTATAAATGTGGGCACTAAGGCTGAGGAAGATAAGTCACATAGTCGTAATAGCTGTCCCTAAAGCCATAGCAAATTGTTGGGGTGAAATGACTCTTACGACTTTTGTGGATCTCTGCCGCCAGGGCATAGCAGTTTCCCAGCTTGAAGGCTACTATTAAGTACTTTAAAATTTTGGAGAAATAGTGAGGGAAAAGGTTAGAATTGTACCTGCAGAAGTGCCTCGCTCATGCCTGGGTGGCTCAGTGGGTTAATTGTCTGCCTTCGGTTCAGGTCTTTATCTCAGGGTCCTGGGATCGAGCCCCACGTCAGGCTCCCTGCTCAATGAGGAGTCAGCTTCTCCCTCTCCCTCTCCCCCTCCCCCTGCTCATGCTCTCTCTCTCTCTTGCTCTCTCTCTCTCAAATAAAATAAATAAAATCTTAAAAAAAAAGTGCCTCACCCTAAGAGGCACCAGCCTGTCATAAATGTATGTGCAAGGAGACTTGGTAAAGGAGGGACTGAAATCAAGATGATGATGCTTCTGCCTTGGGCCTAGGATATATCTAAAAACTATACTGTAATCATGTTGTAATCTGAATGAAGAAAAGCCATACTTACCAAAAGATAGTGGCCTTTCTGGAATTTATAATAAGGAGAACAAAGGGCCAGAATCTGCCAGGATGTTCACAGTGCTGGGGAGGGGCAGAGTTCTGTGCCTAGATGATCCACCGTAGCATAGAGAAGAGCCACCCACCAGATCCCTATAGCTTCCTGGAAATGCCAGAGAATATTTCCTTTACACCATCTCTTTTTCCGCTAGACAACCCTCTGATCTATTATTTGCTTGTGGCATGAATTTATTCACCTAGAGGGAATATCTTATGCAGCTAACCAGCTCCAGGTGTCCAGTCAGAGATGTCTTCCAACCTAAATTAATAAACAATCATGATAATAGCAAACACATATAAAGAACTTACTGGGTACCAGACACTGTTTCTTATACATTTTAACCTACCTGACCCTTACAACAGCTTTCAGCTAGGTGCTATGAGTTAGACTCCTTCACAGGTGAGGAAACTGATGTACAAACAGGGCAAGTACTGTGGTCAAGATGACCCTTCTGGGATTCCCAGATAGTATTTGTGCTTAAGTGCCATGCTCTGCTGCTGCAGCTGATAAATAGTATTCTTATTCCACCTTGTTCTCCTAGGGTTTGGTTATTGAGGATAAGTTCTACCAGTCTGGCAAACTCAATGTGGACTGATAAACTGAAGTTTGTCCACTGTGCAAGGGGAGGACTCATTTACGGAGCTCTCCATGGACAAGTTAGGATTTGGAAGGTTTGCACCCAGCCTGATTACAGAGCCACACTATTAACCACTATACTTTATCACTATTATCATTCTTAATTACTTCATTTACATATTCACTCAATGAGTATTTATTAAACCTACATGTCAGGCATTGAGTTTAGTTCTGGGGATACGGGAGAGAACAAAATAGCCATAGTTCCTGCCTTCACACTTACCAGAGGAAGAGAGGCGTTAAACAGCTAAATACAAAAAAAGCTATGTGGTTTGTTACAGCTGATAAGTGCTAAACGGGCCAGACCCTTTTAGTAAATGGCAAAGACAATCCTATTACTTGGCAAATTCCAAGGGTTTAGAAGTTACCTCTCAGGAACCAGGAACAGTATTATATAACAGTGTCACAGCCCGTTTTTTTCACTCTGATCCTACTGTCCTTTCTTCCCTTCCACTGGTGTTGATCCTAAGTGTACTCCTTAATAAACTTCCTGAATACTCATCTTTGCTTCAGTTTACTTTTCATGGAACCCAACTTAGAAGATTTGGTGCTAGGAATGGTCCAAGAGAGCAGACACTCTGATTGCATTTGGGGGTTGGCCATTGGTCACAGGGCCACAGTGAGTCACTGGTGATGGGTAAAACACAACAACCACAAGAAAGCAAGGCAACTGTTAAAAGTTTCACCTGTGGTGTAAAAGGAAAGAGCATGTGGTGTATAATGAAAGAACAGGCATTGCTGTCAAAGTACAGGGGAGATAGTATCCGTAAGCACACAGGATTACATGGCTACTGCCAAATGGAATGGATGCTGGGAAGAGGTAACAATGATTAGAGTGGTAGTTCTGCAATTCAAAATGAAGTGTGAAAGCCAGAAGACCTTCTGGGAGCATGTAAAGAGGTTCTCATCTCCTGCAGTGGGAAGACAGAGAAAACTGAGGACCAGTCCCAGGACTTAAACGTAACAGTACAAAAGCCAGGTGGAAACTTGCAAAAACTAAAGTCTCCACTTAGGCAGGGGTGATATGTCAAGGTCAAGACCCTCGTTGGGAAAGAGCAGAACTGTGACATATGGGATGGGGACATTTAGGTTCATTCAGTCTTGAATCCCTAAATTCCCTTCACCCTGCTGAGCCTGCCCAGATGCCCCACTCCTCCCCATCCTCCTTGCTTGTGAATTAATGAAAAGCCTCCTCTCTGTGGGATAATAATGCACTTATCTCAGGATACACCTACACTTCCCCTGCTGATTACTAGGTAATAATTAAAGTGAAGCCACAACATATGATATTCCAGGGACATTCTAGGGCCAATAATATTGGAAGGTGACCCTACCGCAAAGAAGCTGTAGAACGTAGCTCACAGGTACCACAGGAACCAAGACAGTATACATGGCAACCACTACATTTAAGTGTAATCGACATGTTAAGAGAGGAGATAAGATGGAACCATATAAAACACTCAGTGAAAACCAGAGAAGGCAGACCAAAGAAGATAATGAATAGAAAACAGTTACAAAATCAACCTAGGGAAATAAGGACAATGACTTAAAAAATGGGCAAAGGATTTGAATAGAAATTTCTCCAAAGAAAATACACAAATGACCTATAAGCACATGTGAAGATGCTCAACATCACTAATCATCAGGGAAATGTGAATTAAAACCCCAACGAGGAGCCACTTTTACACCCATTAGGATGACTATTATAATAAACAAAACAAGTGTTGGCAAGGATGTAGAGAAATTGGAACCCCGGTGCATTGCTGTTGGGAATGTAAAATGGGGTAGCCACCGTGGAAAACAATATGGTGATTCCCAAAAAAATTAAACATAGAATTAACATAGGATTCAGCAATTCCACTTCTGGGTACGTACCCAAAAGAACTGAAAGCAGGACTCGAATGGACATTTGTACACTAATGTTCATAGCAGCATTATTCACAGTAGCCAAAACGTGGAAACAACTCAAATGTCCATTAATGGATAAGTAGATAAAGAAAACGTGGTATATACATACAATGGAATATTATTTAACTTTAATAAGAAATGAAAACCTGACACGTGTCCAACATAGATGAACCTTGAAGGCATTATGCTTAGTGAAATAAGCCAGACACAAAAGGACATGTATTATATCATTCCACGCATATGAGGTACCTACAGTTGTCAAATTCATAAACACAGGAAGTAGAATGGTGGTCGTTGCCAAGGGTGGGAAAAGGTAGAAACAGGGATTTCTTGTTTAACGGGTAACAGGGTTTCCATTTGAAACATGAAAAAGTTCTAGAAATGAGTACATGCACATCAATGTGAATATACTTAATACCACTGAATTATATACTTACAAATGGTTAAAATGGTAACCATTTGTTGAATATATTTTACCACATTAAAAAGAAATGAGAGAAAGAAGGTAAAAATGGTTGCCTCCCTTAAAGATCTAAAAGATGGATGGGTGGTAGTCCATGTCATACCTCCATTTAATTTACTGGTCAGGCCTCTGCAAAATCCAGACGGATTCTGGAGAATGGCAATTGACTATCACTAACCTAGCTCAATAGCATCCCCAAATGTAACTGCTCTGTCAGGTGTGTCATCTTTGCTAGAGCAGATGGACTCGGGTATGTGGTATGTGGCAATGATCTGGCAAGTTGACTTTTTCTATCCCTATCAAAAAAAAAAAAAAAAATCAGAAATTATCCACCTTCCTTTGGAGCATGCAACAGTATTCATTTACAGATTTGCTCCAGTGCTATGTTAAAACTCTGCTGTCCTCTGTCATAACATAGTCTAAAGAGGCATGAACCAGCTGGACCTCCCACAGAATACCACAGTGGTCTGGGAAATTGATGACATCATACTAGCTAGACCAAATAAACAGTGACTAGGAGATTGGAGGCCTTGGTAATTCACATGCACTCTTGAGGGAGACAAACCTTAAAAGATTCAGGAGCAGGGCGCCTGGGTGGCTCAGTTGGTTGAGCATTTGGCTCAGGTAATGATCTCAGGGTCATGATCT